AATTCGCCCAGTCACAGTTCTGTTCAAGAATTTATACTGTGTTTTTTTTAATCGCCCCATTTTAAATTCACTCACATGTAGTTGTTGCCATGACAACAATTGATCGAACATTTCATATATTTTTTCACCACTCTCCATAAATACAATCATCAACACATTAATTTAATATTCATTTCCATGACGAACACTGATCCAAAAGTCAAATCTCTTTACAGGAGGCATAGGGTACATTGGTTGCCATGCACTGGGAATCGTTGCCATGTGTTAATTAAAGACGAAAAAAAAATTAAGATTACCAACATTTCATTGTCAAATTTGCTCATCCGGATTTTTCTGACTTATTTTGAATAAGCCTTAATAAGATAACACGAATACACGCCAAAATTACCTTTCTTTGCCCTGTTGCTATGGAGAACCTGCCGTTGCTATGGAAATAAAGAATTATGCAATATTCAATTATTTGCTATGGAGACCGAAATTAATTATACTGTTTTAAAATTGGTTTCTCGTTTATCATAAATAACCTTTCATTTGATTTTTTCGTAAACTTTTTACATTGTTTCTCATTTTATGCATCAAAAAGCCCATTTTTGTTGCTAGGCAACAGTTTCGATTTTCAAAAGAGCCCATGGAATTGACTTCAAATTCTAAAAGAGAAATACCTCTGCTTTTATGTGAAATACATGCAACAACTGTATTAATCTGGCCATTTTTGAAATTTGGCCTTGAATATTGCCAAAATCACGAAAAATGCTGAATCTGCAAAACTTGTAAAACATGTGTACCTTCCAATGTCTACCACAGAACTGACTTAAGACCTAAATATTTTTTATTACATTATTAGAACACAATAAATGTGTATCTTTATTACACCCGTAAGTAAGAATAATTCTCTTGGTATTTACATGTTATTTTAAGCCTCAAAGATAGGTGATTTTTTGTCCTTCAAGACTGAAAAATCCGCCCGTTGCTAAGGAAATTTCTTTGGCCGGGGTTCCATGGTTACCATGACTCAAAACATTTTTCATTTTACATACATTGTTCATACTTCAAAATAAATCTACGAGTGGAAAATCATCAAATTCTGAAAACCTTCATGTATCACTTTTTTACAGTTTTGTCTGATTTTTATGTGGACTGGTACTTAATACTTTGTTTAAAGCAAGTTTTTAAAATATTTTACTCGTGATTTAATAAATGTTATCATTTAAAAATGATTTTACTAAACTAATGCAAAAATAACGTCTCATTTCCTCATGAGCACTTTCTAACACAACCACAAACAGATCGGCCGCTGCTGCGACCGATAATAAAGATACCTCATGCGAAGTTGTATGAGAAAAAAGGTTGGTTTTCTATTTAGTTTAATTTTAAAATACGACATTTTTAAGCAATTTTTTAGTTCACATGGGCTGAAAGCTCAAGTGAGTTTTTCTGATCACATTTTGTCCGGCGTCCGTCCGTCCGTCTGTCTGTAAACTTTTCACATTTTTGACTTCTTCTCCAGAACCACTGGGCCAATTTCAATCAAACTTGGTACAACGCATCCTTATGTAAAAGGGGTTCAAGTTTGTTCAAATGAAGGGTCGCGCTTTTATTGAAGGGAAGATTAATTCGGAAATAGTGAATAAATTGGTGGCATGTTTTAAAAAATCTTCTTCTCAAGAACCACTGTGCCAGGAAAGATGAAAATTATGGGGAAACATCCTCAGGTACAGTGTAGATTTAAGTTTGTTCAAATCATGACCCCTGGGGGTAGGGCGGGGCCACGATGGACAATCAAAGTTTTTCATAGAAATATATAGGAAAATTCTTTAAAAATCTTTTTCTCAAGAATAGCAAAGCCATGATCAGTCATATTATTATGGAAGCATCCTCAGGTAGTGTAGAATCAAGTTTGTTTAAATCATGATCCCCGGGGGTTGGGCAGGGCCACGATGGACTATCAAAGTTTTACTTTGGAATAGAATAGGGAAAATATTTAAAGGACAGCAAAGCCATTATTGGTCATATTTTAGTTGGACGGGGGGGGGGGGGGGCACAATGTAAGTTCAAATGCAAAGGCACAGGTAGTCAAAGAAATATTCAAGCTAGCATCCTTAGTTAGTGTAGATTCAATGTGAGTTTAAACTCAGGAACTGAGGAACAAGGCGGGCAGAATGCCTATATCGTCGGATATTAAGAAATCATATTCAATATGTGAATTCAGCATTTAAATTAACTTCTCATTATTAAAATGCATGAAATTGTGAGAAAAATTTTTTTTCTGAGAGAAAACCAGAAGTCTCTGTCGAGACTGAAGCTCTACTGGTTTGTACTTAACAACAAAGGATTAGAGAAAAGTAGCGGTTGGGACTTAAACCTTTACAACAGCAATAAATAGAATAATGATCCTTGATTAAGTCTCTTTTTGGGGCAATAACTTGCAATAAGACTACAACTCTAGGAGTAGCTTTTAATATAATTTTACAGTATTTTCAATTTTAGTTACCATGGCAACATCATTCATCAAAATAAAAAACCAATAATAAAGACAATTATATATCTTAGTGTAGTCTACTTGCATGACACATTATATTACAATCAGACTGAAATTGTATTTGGAGTAGCAATTTGAGAGTATTTCACAGAATTTTTATTTTTAGTAACCACGGCAACACTGTTCATCGAAATCAAAAACCGATATACAGAATTATGCATCTTAGTGTTATCTACCTGTGTGCCAAGTTATATTGAAATCAGACCAAAACTGTAGGAGGCGTAGCATTATTGAGAGTATTTCACAGAATTTTCTATTTTTAGTAACCATGGCAACACCGTTCATCGAAATAAATAAACTGATACATAGATATATATATATATATATATATATATATATATATATATATATATATATATATATATATATATATATATATATATTAGTGTTGTTTACCTGTGTGCCAAGTTATATTGAAATCAGACCAAAACTGTAGGAGGTGTAGCATTTTTAAAGTTTTTCACAGAAATTTCTATTTTTAGTAACCATGGCAACACAGTTCATCAAAAACCGATATACAGGATTATGTATCTTAGTGTTGTCTACTTGTGTGCCAAGTTATATTGAAATCAGACAAAAACTGTAGGAAGAGCAGCATTTTGACAGACAGACGGACGGACGGACGAATTACTATCGCATAAGCTCCTCTGGTCTCTGACCAGTAGCACTAAAAAATCTCGTTATTTTTTGCTTTTATAAAAATATAAGATGATATATAATCCGACGCATCATACTGCTTTGAGACGTTGGGCATTTAAATCATGTTTGTGATATGACCCTTGACTTAATGGACTTAAGAGTATTTTTCGGAAAGATAAGAATGTTTTTTCATAAAAGTGTACTTTTAAGGTATAGTGGGTCTTCGCTCCATGTTTTTTAAAACCAAAAAATGTATATTTTATTGCAAACTTTTAGGATTATCTTTCAAAAAAATTTTGTTCTTTTTAGTGTGTGTATGCTTTTTCATAGGCAAATATTTTCAGTCTTTGTAAGATTTTCGTAAATTGTAGAGATTTTACATTAAGTATACTTTCATATTAGATGACTTTTATCCAAAAAAATTTGATATAATTGACTTCTTATCTGTCGCACTACAGGCACTTCGTCCGCCTTATCCCTCCATCTTCTTTAAATAAATTGCAGTTACTGGTATCTGTTTGTATACTGCACTGACCGGTACAACTACATTGTATTCACTTTCTTGAACAGAGACTAAGTCAGTCCCTTTATATAGGGGACCATAGATATAGCGAGAGTTCAATCGAAAATGGCGGACACATTCTTTTTACGGATCGTGTTCAGCTTTAAGTCAAATACTAATTAGTATCATAATCATAATTGACGTTTTTAGACCATTATTTACATACTGAACTGTTAAAGGACTTTCACGTAACATCTTGACAAGGACCACATGGCGGGTGTGACCGGTCGGCTCACTCCTCCATGGCATCTGATCCCACCTCTGATGTTTTGGAGGTCCGTGTTTGTTCTGGTCGAAAAATTGTACTTTGAAATGGACCTTGAATACTGTTTGTTATCTCAATAGATTTTATGCAAGTCGCAAATTTCTACATAAAGTAAAGATTATGAAGTACAAATCTTAATGTCCCTGTTTATATAGGTAATGTCGGGGAAATTCTTAGTGTTTGTCAAAAGCAACACTTGGGTTTGTCAAACGATTTACAAGTGTGAACTTCTAAGCTCCATGTCTCTCGTAAATTTTACACTTACATGGAGCCGCCACCACTTGCCGGTGGAGAGCTGCAGATTGTGTCCTATACTCGGCACTCAGGGTCATTGAGCGGGGATTTTTTTGTGCCAGCACCTGCAGCGACACGGGACCTCGGTGTATATGGTCTCATTAGAAGAACCAGTCTCAAAGTCCCACAGTGGGATTCAAACCTGCGATGTAAAATCAACTTTCATCGAGACTCTAGAGCAGACACTCTAACCACTGAGCAACGCGGGCGACTTATGAATCATCAGATAAGTAAGTGTACTTCTCTTATATAAGCAACAGAGAAGAAATTGTAACAGCTTAAAACTGTTCCAACAGAAAGACGCAACCCCATCAAATAAACAGTCTCAGATATTTTTTTAAACTAAATTTTAATGATTGCAACAAAGAAAAAAGTAATGTATACAATAAAACCGACAGCACAATACACTTTCCTTGCTCAAGCCAGGAGCTGTCCCAATTGATACATCATCATTTATCTGGAATGACAGCACTAACAAAGATTGGCAAAAGTTTATAATTCATCAAACAGATTGTAAAAAATATACCATTAAAGCTTTTTGGTTTGATTTACAAGTAATTCAGAACTACATGCTTTGTTAAAACCAAAGTTCAGCTTTTTTTTCTTTTTGGCTTGGAAGTATATGTTCCTTGAAACATTTAAAAATGTTGTAAAATTTTATTTATGAAACATTCTTAACCTTTGATAAGTTAATTTTTTAAATAAATACTGGAACCTAGAACCGAAGCTAAAATTTAATAATATTTTTCAACCCTTTAATATTCAAAACTATAGTCATATTCATTCAAAAGAATATTCATCAGCTCTAGCAATGTGTACATTTATATTCAATATTAGTTGTCAGTAAGTGGCCACTAGAAAGTATTGAAAAGTTGAAAGACAAACATAACAAAAAAATGGTAAATAAAAAAAGAATGAGCTGGTCAAATGATATGGCACTTCTTAAATACCCAGACACTTCCTATTATTCCCCACAAATATTACCGCTACTACTACACTACTGCTACACAAGAAAAATCAGAACAATAAATTCCATTGCACAGTTTGCACCAATTTACATGTCATGATAAAAATAGACGCCTCTGCATTATACGTTTGTAGCATTATGCTTATCCACATAAAATGATATGATAAATTCACGAGATTCTGTGATTTGTTATCGAGACAGGCTTTGGTTAATATAATAATATGTACATGTAGGCATTGTTCAACACTGTAAAAGATACACAATTACACACTCAACATAAAAAAAGTCGTCAAATTACATTCACGGTTGTCTTTTTAAGAAAAAATTTGGCATACATGAACAAGGTCGCTTCTACACTACTACATAACTCAACAAATAGCCATTTTCAGTCAACAACATTAAAAATTTACTATACACTACTTCACTAGATACAATACATAATTTCAAAATGAACATCGTTACAAGTTTTCTAGGAAATGAAGAGATGAAGTGCACATTCCTTAAACACAGGCTTACTATGAAATGAAGCAATGAAGTGTTCAAACTATTTTTAAGACAAGACTTTACTATGACATAAAGAGATGAAGTGTTCAGACTATTTTTAGACATCTGTGATCCTGACTAGTCTGTCTGATTGTCGCTGTGATTTACGTCACTGAAAGACATGGGCTTCACATGACCCACTGGTATTCTGCCCGAACACACTCCATCTTTTCTAGTCATGAAATCCTTCTGAACACTCTCATGACCTTCGTACAAATTCTCAGATAGCTTATATCCATCGTTGCTTTGTTTTTTAGGCTTTAATTTCTTGCTTTTTGTTGGCTTGTGTTCCTTATTCTTTCTCTGGTTATTCATTGTTTGCGAGTCGGTGCTAGATTTGGAATGAACCACCGTATTCAGTGATGCATTAACATCCTTATAAGGGTAAGCATTTTGAGCAGCGCATCTGGGAACGTCATAATTAGGTGTAAATGAGCTAGATGAAGAACAATATGGATATCTCGTAGAGTGATTTAAATGACTTGGTGTCGTATATCCTGTATGTGTTGGGAAGTTGGGAGATAAAGAGGTGTTTTTCATACAACCAATTTCTGCTACTTTTCTTTGAGTAAAGGAAGATATTGGGGGTAATAAAGGCGACTGTTCCTTTTGAAGAAAATCTGGCGTGGTTCTCACATTTTCACTGACTGTCGATCTTTCTGGTGTGACTTTTCTGCTCAGAAAACTTTGTGATGGCCTTTGAGGTGGTGGAGTTATAGCGGAATAATGAATCGGAGATTGAGGAACATTCTGTGGTGGAGGAGTTATACAGGGATAATGCATTGGAGATTGGGGAATATTCCTGTTTCCAAACATAGGTATTGATCCAACAATAGGACTCTGAAAACGAGACTCCACTCTCCCAGGATTGTTCATTCTTCTAAAAGCTTCAAACTTATCAGTTGTGAGCTCAAACGCAGGTGCTGGCGAAAACGGAGAAAATGACTGAATTGGCATGAATGGATTCACTGGAGGTACAATAGAAATATTTGGAAATGGTAGAAGGGGAAGTGTTGGTAATGTATTGGAGATGTTTGAAAATTGCTGAAACTGAGGAATAGCATAAAACAAGGATAAAGGATTCAAGGGCACTTGCTGTGAAGGTAACATGGCACATTGTTGACTAGGTAAAGAAATGTTTGAAAGCATCATCTGGTTTATCAATGGCACTGAACACAAAGTTGGAGATGGGGAACACACAGGAATAGGTGTAGTTTCTTTGTTTTCCACAATAAGAGGCTTCACTAGACTTTGATTTCTTATTTTCAAATGCTCACTCCTCGTTTCTTCCTGGATTCCAGAGGAGGTGCTAGAACTGATGGAGGACTTTGAAAGGGAAGTTGCTGTACTATTGGTCTTTGATGATATCTCTGACGTATCATGCGAAATTGATTCCTGAATACTTTTGGAATGGCATACATTAAATGATCCTACACCGTTTTGTGGGTTTGTTACTACAGTATCAATACTTCCACTTTGTTGACTGGTTAAGTACTCTGACACAACTAGCTTTGACATGTCATCACCTCGGGTTGATAATTCATTTTCACTATCCATGGAATCCGAGATGTAGTCAGTTTCAGTTGATGAGGTGTGGTCTGAATCATCTTCTATGTTTATTTCGCTTTTATCTAACGTTTCCTCCATTTTGTCATTAATTATGAGACAATTATCTGAATCTTCATCTTCAGAATTTGAATTGTTGTTATTTAAGTTAGATGCCTTGATTTCAGGAACATTTACACAACTTCTTTGAATCATGCCATCACCTACAGAAAATGTTCCTTTGCATTCACTTGGATGCAAATTCTTGGACTCTCCATTATCAATACTGATCACATTGTTGTTTGTTGGCAATAAATCGATAGAACTCCCATAACTCTCATCAGTACCAATTTCTACAACATTTCCAACTGGAACATCATTAATGTCCAGAATCCCAGATGACAACATAGCCTCTTCTAATGGATCAAGTGGTCCTGTTAAACATTTGACTTTTGCTAGGCAAAGCTGGTCATCACATAAACCACACTCATTGCTGGAAAATTTTAGCAATCTCATTTGGTTTGATTTTTCTACTTCTACTTCTAGATAAATATCATGGTCGGTTTCACGTATCACAGACATGATGTCCTCAAGTCTTTGTTCTGCATCAAACGAACTATCTGCTTCTCTGGGGTTTTCAATATCATAACTTATCTCCATCTTCTTATCTGCTAACACTGTATTTGGTGCACAATCTACCTGCTTCTTTTCTTCATCCAAAGTGGTCTTACTTGTTTCATTGCAAGATGGACTGTCCACAACACTCTGTACAGCAGCCAGAAAATGTATTCCATCACTATCCTTCTTCTCCAACATTTCCTCAAGATGTTCTTCTGATTTTTCCTCTGGTTTCACAACTTTGTCAGAACAGGAATCATTTGCTGGAGTATTATTAACAAGAGAGACAGTCTGATCTTGTGGAAAATCAGTGGATGAATTGTAACTTTCACCGCCACTGCTTTGATCATAGGCTCCAATCAATAGACTTAGTCCATCCCCCTTTTCATTGTAACTCTCAGAGAGTACACTCATATTTGCCAAATCTTGAGTATTTCCAGAACTGCCAGGAGTGCCATGTAGGGAGTAAATCACCTTTGGAGTACTGGTACTATTAAACATAGAGGAATTTGTTTCAGACACCATCTGAACTTTTAACTCTGAATTTAAGTATCCTTTATTTTGTCCTAGTTTTTCATCACTCCTTGAATTATCATCATTGTCTTTTACATTTACTGTAGATAAAGTGGATTTTTCTGTAGACTCTTCTCCACTGTTCACTTCTTTATCATTTTCAGGCATGTTCGTCTTTGAATCCTCATTTGGTATGTTATTGCTTTCTGATTTAGCGTCTGTTATGTGTAAATTTGAAGAAACAAATTTTTCACAATCAACATCCTCTTTCTCATTCTGTGTTTCTGTAGATAAGCAACTGTATGCTGCAATGTTTGAGGGTTCAGAAGCTGATGATACAATGTGTGTGGATATAGACGATGGCATTGTAAAAAAATTGTTAACAACTTCTTCCTTTCTGGATTCAATTTGCAGATCTTTCTCCGTTACATTCTGACCACTTGCTCCATCTGGTGGCTTTGCTGCAGGTTCACCCTTTTCTTCCTTTGCCGTTGTCTTTGCTGAAGATTCAGTCTCTATTTCTATATTTTCTTCCTTTGCCAGTTTTATTGAAGGTTCATCCTTTTCATCATTTTTTTCCTCTTCCAGTGAAGGTTCACTCTCTTTCTCTTCATTTTCTTCCTCTGCTGGTTTTGCTGAAGTTTCAGTCTCTATTTTAACATTTTCTTTATCCGTCAATGTCTTTGCTATAAGTTCAGCCTCTATTTCATTATTTGCTTCCTTTGCTGGTTTTACTGTAGGTTCACCCTCTTTTTCACCATTCTCCCCCTTTGCTGGTTTTGTTGTAAGTTCACCTTCATTTTCTTCCTCTGGTGGCTTTGCTGTAGGTTCACTGTCTATTTGACTTTGACCAGTGTCTCCCTTTGTTGGCTTTTGTATAGGTTCACTCTCTATTTCTCCATTTGCTTCCTTTGTTTGCTTTGCTGTAGGTTCATGATCATTAACTTCATTGCCACAGTTACTCAAAATTTCATTAACACAATTATTTTCACTGTCCTTTCCTTTCGAATAACATTCTTCAGAAACTGATTGCACATCCTCACCACTTCCATCTTGAGATTTAAATCCGCCTGGACAAACAGATGCACATTCTTTGATTTCCATTGCATCATTTTTATATCCGCCATCCCTGCCTAATACTTCTTTATTACCATCGCAACTTTTATTTTGGCACCAGAAGGTATTTCCTTTTACACCCAGTAGATGAATAACAGGAATGTACTGATCATTTTCCTCGTTCTGTTTACAAATGCTTTCCTCTTCTGAGATACTCATATCCTGAAGCTCTGACACTGTTCTGTTCAGACTGCCATTAGGGTCTCTTGTCCTACTCTGGTTTCCTCTAGAATTCTCTAAACTAGCCACAGAATCATTCATGTCAGGATTCATTCTTTCTTCTACACTACAGGTATTTGTTGGTTCAGTGGTGTCTTTGTTATAAAGCATATTAAATTTCTCTTTTGAATAAATAACTGCTGAATCATCTATGTCTTTGCTATGATTTGTACTACTTTCTCTAATTTGTTTAAAATCCACGTCTTTTCCCCCTACATCGGATAAAACATCTGCAGTATTTTCCCCCATATCAGCAGGAACTTCAGATACTACATCTAGTTCCTCTATGTCTGGGGCTTCATCAATAACAATCCAGTCATTAAATTCCTCCATTTCTGTGTCCCCCTCTTCATCCTGGCCTTCATTATTCGAATTTATAAAGTTATCCCTAAAATTTTCGCTGTCATTATCCACCACCTCCACAGAATGTCTTTTAATCTCCAACATGGTGGAATTCAGTTTTTCTTCTGAAAATAATCAATATGCTCAGTCATATATGCATATTCTCTTTGACACAATTTTATAGTTTACTACATTTCTACAGAATGTAAATCAAGTTATCTACAGCTTACTTCACTTATATTGAAATCGCTTATTTTGAAATTCCACTTATTTTGAAATAAAAATAAATCCCCAGTTTTTGTCTCTCATATTCTTTGCATTAAAATAACATTTATATTGAAATCGGCTATATTGAAATATCGCTTATATTGAAGCCACTGATCGGTCCCTAGAGGTGATAATGAGTTGTTTTCATAACGATTTATTGAAGTACTCCCTGTCGGCTGTCGTTACAGTTGGTGACAGTAATTATACCTGACTGACCGACTGATATATTAATTAAGGTGTGAATAAATACACTGTACGTTTTCACCTTACGTCTTTTCATACTGCTTTTACAAAATAAAATTATTCACTGTTTTATTCTTTGTTTTTACGCATACAGACATATTGAGGCTAAAAAATAATAATACAGGAACCCCACAGAAAAAGAAAACCCTAAAATCTGACACTAAATATATAGGAACTAGTTACGGCTATTGATAAGCCTAAATTCGAAAACCTAAGAATTTTGGGATTAACTCGAGTTCACTTACGATAATATACAAGCAACGTTCAGCAGTGAATTAACAGTTGGAGTCCAGTGATTTTTCTCTAAAACACAAAAGGCGATCGGGGAATTTTATAATGAGGTTGAAGGTTGTCTTTTCAATGCAACAGAAAGAAATAATTTTATACAGAAGACTAATATTCCATGTAACCTGTTCACTATTTTAAATAAACTGTAACCAAATTAATTTTTTTCGGGTTTGTTCTTCATTTCAGATCAGGATTGAACTTTGAAAAATGGCGGCTTAAAAAATCACAATTTCGCTTATATTGAATTATGGATATATTGAAATATTTTGCCTGGTCCCCTGAACTTCAATATATCCGGAGTAGGCTGTATTTGCAAAACATTTTGAACTAGTTTCAAGAAAAACTAACCCTTGTTACTGACTTGTTCTTTAGTTTCCGTTTTGATTTCCTTTTCAGACTTGATCTTTGGATAGGAATCAGCAGCCCTGTCATTCTCCGAGGGTGTTCTCTCTGCAGTCTCCACTTTCCTTATATTTGATGATCTTTCTGTCTTTATAATGATGGACCTGGTATCTGGTTTAACCTCTGTGGATTCAGTCTTGATTTCTATTTTGGCTATGTCAGGTTTGCATTCTTGACCTGTAAAAACTGATATAATAAGTCTTGAAGCTGATCATTTCTGAAATTCTTCATTAAAGAAATACAAACAACAATTGCTTGATCCCTGTTTGTTAATTATTCTTCACTTTCTCTGTAATTCTGTCAGCAAAGAACCTAGCAGCACTGAGGTAAGATTTAAGCGAACATATATTTTACTCAATCCTTAATTTCAGATAATTGATAGGCAAAGGGTTTCATTTGAATATTGCAGAAAAGAAACACCCGACTTGTGAAGATACAAGATCCTTACACATATGACAAGAGATGTTTGTAAAACACTTATGCCCCCCTCCCCCACAAATTGGAATTTTTCTAAGGGCTATTCCAGAAAAAAATGTAAGGTCATATAAATCTGGAGCAATTAAATTTGCATGGGTGGTGCCATCTATATTTTTAGATGGGTGGTTGCACTTACCCTCACAAATAATCAACTGCAAAGAACTTCCTTCCTACATTTTGTATAAGCCAGTAAAATTTTATTTAAAAAAAAAAAAACGTCCTAAACAGTTGCAAGTGTGTTTACATTGAAAGTAAAAGTAGAATGAACAAACCGGAAACTGCAAAAATAAAAGCACATGGTGTAATGACAGTGGAGGATTGGGACACGATTTCTTTGTGTTCTTGTGTTCTTTGTTGCTTCCAGCTCAAGTTTCATTCCAGCATTTTATTCAAACGTGATTTTTGGTAAATTAAATGATATTAGAAACAATCAGAGATCGTTTGATTAAAACCGAAAGTAGAAAAAAACGTATCTGATAATAAACATTTTAGAGCATGAGTATGGAGTTTGCAAGTCATATATTTTACTTTATACCAAATACGGTGTAAAATAATTTTTATATATAACAGGGTTTGTAACAATATACATGTATTATGTCAATACAATACAAATACAAATACAAATACTTTATTGGCACAAACACAATTACGATAATTGGCAAAGGCCCACTGAACATCATTACGTCCCACTAAATAGACAATGCCCTACATTTTTTTAAGTCCTAAAAAGGGGCATATATACAGGCTATAGCAGGCCTGTACAAAAGAACTTTGGACTTGAACTAAAAAAAGCTGATTGTAAAATCTTACAAGACTTTTGTTTCTGTTAAAATTTGCATAAAAATATCTTTCTAAATTCTTTTCAAAAAAGATTAAAACTATTTTCAAAGTAAAGAAAAAATGAAAGTTTTGTGCATAATATTTAGATTTGCATCATATTTATTTTTTTTTCTTTTTAAATGAGACCATTGTTTGGATACATCCCAAAAGTGAACACTCATTTCAAGTTGCATAAAGTGCAAATGCTTGAAAAAGTACATAAATTTTATTGTACATAACTTAAAAACAATTCTTTAAAAAAAGTATTTTAAATTTAGATGGGTGGTTGTATTAAAAGCATTTTTAATTTGATGGGTGGTGGGGGAGAAAGCAATTAAAAAATATGGGAATTTTTTTGGAATAGCCCTAAGTCTAAAAGGTCATAACTCTGTCAATTATGGTGCCATCTTACCCAAAACAGAACTTGACCTAGATATTCATCGGACTTATCTGTATACTAAATTTCATTTCAATATGTGCAACCTCTCCAAAGAAATGAACGGAAACTGCAAAAATATGGAATTTTTCTAAGTCCAAGGGGCATAATTCTATCAATTATGGTGCGATCGTACCCAAAACAGAACTTGACCTAGATATTTATTGGACTAATCTGTATACTAAATTCCATTTCAATATGTGCAACCTCTCCAAAGAAAATGAATGGAAACTGCAAAAATATGGAATTTTTCCAAGTCCAAGGGGCATAACTCTGTCAATTATGGTGCGATCGTACCCAAAACAGAACTTGACCTAGATATTTATTGGACTAATCTGTATACTAAATTCCATTTCAATATGTGCAACCTCTCCAAAGAAAATGAATGGAAACTGCAAAAATATGGAATTTTTCTAAGTCCAGGGGGCATAACTCTGTCAATTATGGTGCGATCGTACCCAAAACAGAACTTGACCTAGATATTCATCGGACTAATCTGTATACTAAATTCCATTTCAATATGTGCAACCTCTCCAAAGAAAATGAACGGAAACTGCAAAAATATGGAATTTTTCTAAGTCCAAAAGGGCATAACTCTGTCAATTATGATGCGATCGTACCCAAAACAGAACTTGACCTAGATATTCATCGGACTAATCTGTATACTAAATTCCATTTCAATATGTGCAACCTCTCCAAAGAAATGAACGGAAACTGCAAAAATATGGAATTTTTTTAAGTCCAAGGGGCATAACTCTGTCAATTATGGTCCGATCGTACCCAATACAGAACTTGACCTAGATATTTATTGGACTAATCTGTATACTAAATTCCATTTCAATATGTGCAACCTATCCAAAGAAAATGAACGGAAACTGCAAAAATATGGAATTTTTCTAAGTCCAAGGGGCATAACTCTGTCAATTATGGTCCGATCGTATACAAAACAGAACTTAGCCTACATATTCATCTGATATACCTGTATACCAAATTTCATTTCAGTATGTGCAACGGTTATGAAGAAAATGAACGGAAACTAAATAGACCGACGGACGGACGGACCGACCGACAGACAGCAGCAAAGCAATATGCCCTCCCTTCTTCGAAGGGGGGCATAAAAATAGGAAGAATACATTTCAGGATCACAATATCAGCTAGTTAAAGCATAAAAAATTACCTGCCATTCAATCAAAATTTCATAAAATTGCAGCAGGATGTCCATAAGTCCCAGAAGCCAGGAATTTCCCTTTTCATACTAACATAATCACCAGAGGCCTGTTCAACAGAGTGAACATTTCTGAGCGCTCGCCAAAATTCCTTGTACCTCCAACAGAAATGTTTGCGAGCACTTTGCTCTGTAAAGTCTGCTGGACACGCCTCTGGTTATTCTGCTATTGTTGTGAAAGAAACCCCTGACTCCCTTCTACTTTTTCAATGTCCCCTGCTGTATGGGACGACCCCTGCGAAACCTTGTAAATCCTATAATGTGTAAAATGGATACAACAAATACACTGATATTCAGTAAAAAGTACGTAAGGGTTGCCCGCAACCCTGTGTCTCGCCTGCTGTCGCTGTGGTTAGTAAGAAATGATTGTCTGATAAACTGAAGCATTTATTGACATTTCAGAAGGAATAACCAAAAATACAATAATAAAGAAATGGAACAGCTCTAATATCTATCCCTTGGCGATTATATTGGCATTTATAATTCACAAATTATTGTGATGTTTTTATTATTGAATATTGCAACGTGTTATGAGTCGCAATAATTTGAACTCGCATTTTGAAATCAAATCCACTGTATATGTATCAAGTCATTCATGCAGAAAATGTAGGTGAAGATTACCTAATTATGGTACTGATATAGTTGGTTACCCATGATGTGTAGACTGACAAATTATCATGCCACTATAAGTTATAGTTGCTGAGATATGGACCTCCACCATAAATTTATGCAAAGTCACTCATAAAAATGTAGGTCAAGATGATAATTCTGGTACAGGCGTTTGTGGTTACCCATGATGTATCCACTGACAAATTATCATGCCACTATAAGTTATAGTTGCTGAGATATGGACCTCCACCATAAATTTATGCAAAGTCACACATGCGGAAAAATGTAGGTCAAGATGACCTAATTCTGGTACAGGCGTTTGTGGTTACCCATGATGTATCCACTGACTAACTATCATGCCACTATAAGTTATAGTTGCTGAAATATGAACCTCCATTATCAATTTAACCAAAGTCATTCATGCAGAAAAATGTAGGTCAAAATGACCTAATTCTGGTACTGTTGGTTACTTATAACCTGTACAATGACAAATCATCATGCCATTATAAGTTATAGATGCTGAGATATGGACCTCCACCAAAAATTTAACCAAAGTCACTCATGCAGAAAAATGTAGGTCAAGATGACCTAATTCTGGTACTGACGTTTGTGGTTACCCATGATGTATCCACTGACTAATTATCATATCCCTATAACTTATAGTTGCTGGAATATAGGTCTTCACCATAAATTATCATGAAAAAACTAAGTCCAACTTAAGGAAAAAATACGGAAAAATTTGAATTTTTTTTTTCAAAATCATACTTGGGATATAAATTTTTATCCATACTGAATATTGTGTCCAAATTTCAAGAAGACTGAATAAAATTTGAGAAAGTTATTGCAGTTTATAAAACTTTGACATTTGGGTTAACCAAAAGTTGGACGCCGACGACGACGACGGAATCTATACGCTATGATATTCAGTAATTACCTGGGGCACTGGAGGAAGAAGCTGTCCTAACAGGGAGATTAGCCAGCATCTTAGGGATCATCTTCTTATCTTCCTTCTTCTCATCCTCTTTTTCCTGATCAGCCTGCTCCTACAGGTCAGAGTAAAGGATCATTTAAGGATCATTAAAGAATCAACAATGTTATATTTGAAATTATTCATGAACTGCACTTTACCATGTTTTAAATTTTTTAAAATTTTTCTGTACAAGGGTGTGTTTTCAAACAGTAACTAAGAGTGACTACTTTCAATAGACTACTGTGAAGCAATTATAAATCTACATCCCAGACAATGGCCACAGGTCTTCCTTAGCTCACCTGCTCCTCCATGAAGTAGACTGCCCTCTCTGTTTTGTAGTCTCCCTCTTCTTGTTCCCTCATTGTCAGTTCATCCACCAAGTCAGCCTTCCTCTTCCTCTCCTCAAAATCAGGGATAGCATTCTCATTGAAATCTTCATCTACTACATCATCTGCACTGCTGATGCTACAGAGGAAGAGGATTGTAATGTTACTATGTTCAGTTTGAAGGTTTACAAAACAACCAGAATTAAATAATTTTTTTTCATTTGAAACAAAACTTGTTTCAATTAAACATGAAACATTGGCACTATTTGAGATTTTAATCAGAAAATAAATTACTTGTTGGAAATGCTTTCAAACCCTTGTTAAAAGACTAGTATGCTTTGTAGAAAGATTCATTAACAATGGCCAAGTGGTTTTTCAAAAGAAGTTTAAAAAGTGAAGTCTATAAGCAGACAGATGTACATGTACATGTATATAGGACAAAATATGATCCTCAGCTAAGCTAAAGACAACCTGTAAGGACAATATCAAATTCCAGCACTCAAAATTTTTAAGAATATGGAATTGCCAGCATTCCATCAATATAATCTTGTGTTAATTTATAATTTATACTTTAAAGGTGAATAAAAATCATACCCTCCTGGCAAAGAGTCTGGTACTTTTGACCGTACAAAGGTGTAGTTGGCAAATCTGGAATTTGTCCTCTTATGTCTTGCTTTGTGTTTCTGATTTTTGTAGGAAGAAACTGTCAAATCATGCATCAACTCCCTCAGAGAGCTAGAGAATCAGAACAATTTATTTAAACAAACTTTCTCCAATTTTTAAGAGAAGTCATAAAAATTTTCAAAATTTCCCTATATGATTTCATTTTACTGTAGTTATGGTTGAGTACAAAAACTATTTTAAATGAATTCTCAATTACTTAAGTAATTCTCAAGTTCACATACTCATATGCAATGTCAAAAGACCACTTGTTCTTTTTCTTGGGTTTCTCTTTTTCTTTCCTGTATGGGTGAAACTGACGCTCATCCCTCTTGGCCTTTGCCTCATTTCTTATTGGCCCTGCCTAGAATAAATTAAACATTTTCTCTAAAAAAAATTCCAACTTCTTCAAAAATCAAATTAACATTTAGTATACTGATATATATCTTATAGCTTAGCACATAAAATATTAATACATGAGAGATGTAAAAATCCAGTGAAAACTGTTAAACACCTCAACTTCATCTAACCTTTGACAGAGGTTCAGCATTAGCAGACGATGGTGGAGGTTTGTAACTTGAAGAAATTCCTCTTGTAACCGGTGACCTTGACCTGGATTTGCTTGACCTTGGCTTTTCCTTGTTGACTGTGACCACTACTATATCCTCCTTCCCTGGTTGGGTCTTCTCACTTCCTGCAGTTTTCTCTACTTTAACTGGTTGGCCTCCCTCTTGACTCACTTCAGTACCAGAGGCACTTTTTTCTTTCTTTTCCTCCTCCCTTGTTTGTGGAGAGAATACATTCTTTTTCTCTGTGCTTCTAAGGTGCACTGTCCTTGTCCCTGTGACGGGGGAAGCCCCTCTTGTTTTCTCCTCTTTATTCCCTAATGCTGGGGAATGCTGTGGAGTAATTTTATCCTCTGTCTTAACCAATACTGTTGGTGACTGTCTTTGTGCTGTAATCTTTTTCTTATTCTCAGGAATAATGACAGTCAAAGTCTTTTCTTGAGGTGAAACTCTTTTTGTTGGCATGGAAACATTCAGAGGTGGAGTTTTGTCACGTTGTCCCATGGTATCTGCCAGATCCAGATTCAGAAGGGGCATCTTTTCAACTTTTACCGTTACTTTTTGTTCCAGCTTCTTGTTATTCTCATTTGCAGGCTCTATCTTAATTTCTGGAATTTTGCTTGATGTTTTAGGATTGTTATTATCATCAATGGTGTTCCTGGTTTGGGTAGTACTCTCATCATTCTTGAAATCCTTGTTCTTGGCATTTTCAATTTGATCTGGAAATCTTATAGGTGAAATAAAAGCTTTACGAACTTTAGGGACTTCCTTTTCATTTTCAGCCCTTGCTGGTGACTCTGTTGATACCTCAGTGGACAACCCTCCCACTACACAACTCAACACTTTCTCATTGTCTTTCTCTTTTATCCCATCTTTAAGGCCTTCGTGTCCACTGAACACACCTTTCTGAGTGGTCTCGGGTGAGGAATCAATTATCATTACAGTGCTATCATCAAGTTCTTCAGGACACTCTGACTCGGCATTTTCCCTTACTACTTTATCAATGGGAGAGGAGCCCATTATCATTATAGTGCTATCATCAAGTTTTTCAGGACTTTCAGCATTTCTCACTATTTGGTTGGGATCTGGAGAATCAGATATAAGTATGACACTTTCTTTGGGTTCATTCCCTTCAGAATCTTTATTCAGTTTCTCTTCTTTTCTTGGAGGTGTTGAAAATGTAGGAAGATTTTTATTTACTTGGGAAGAAAATCCTAATATTTTGGACCAGAATGCCGTCTTATCAGTTGGTTGATTTGTGCTCACTTCTAAAGAGGCACTTACAGCATTACTGTCAAAATGCACTTTCTCTGTACAGTCTTTACTATGTGAACCCCCAACTTCTGTAGACAAAGTAACACTGGAATCACCTTTTGGCCTTAATTCAACTGTACCTGAACCAATTGATTCCATTTTAAGCTCATTCTTCTCTATACCTTGCCTCTCCAGCAGTCTGGATTCATTTTTGGTTGTTTCAGTCTCAGAGGTTTTAAAATCAGAAGATTCTTTCTTCTCAAATTCTGTATTCTGTTCCTGCATTGATGCTTTGAGTGTTTTCATAGTGTTCTCTATGACATTATTCAATTCCTTTCCTTCATCAGGAGTTATAAAACTTAGAGAATTGCTATTACACTGCATTAGAAGGTCTAGTCCTTCTGAGATAGAATTCAGCTGATCAGAGAGGACCTTTTCGAATTTGTCTTGAGAGTTTTGAGAAGCCGACAGAGATTTAAATGAAGTTTGGGAGGACGACAGAGAACTGACTGAGGTTCCATCATTACTGTCCTCCAGCTGGCACTTCACCATGTTTAAAATTCTCTCCATTCCTGATTTCACAATTCCTGAATCATCCTCAGGCCTCTCCTGTCTTTCGACCGAGTGTTCAAACGTATTGGGTGATTTCTCAAGCTTGAACGATTCCTCCTGAAAGTCATTTAATATGTTCTCCTCGTCAAGTGAGATATCTCCATTTTCCCCTCTGTGATCCGATTTATCGCTGTCGTCCGATTGTTGTCCGGAGGAAATAGTCCTCTGATGCTTTCCCGTCTGTGGTAGACTCTTGTGTACAACAGAATTCAGGGCATTTATCAAGTAAACATCCTTCATACTAATTGGGGAGTGGTCTTTTCTGTCAAAAGAATTATCACAATAAGCACATGTATCTATTGTAATGTAATCATCTAAAAGGGTTTATTACTGTCTTATAGCAAACAAAAACCTTTAATTCTTTTTTATAAAGTGATTGTTAAAAATACTGAATTACTATTCACTATAAAATGAACAACATACTCAATCCTGTAAGTTTACTTCATTGTTCTAGTTATTATCTGAATCAGTTAAAATCGTAATGCAGAATACTTCACTAAATCATTGCATATTCCTTATATATTTCGTGTTTTTTTTCTTTTTCTTAGAAATTCTCATACCCTAATATCCTGACACATTTATAAAATAAGAATTTCTTGTCAAATGTACTCTAAAGAGTGTCTTACCCATGGATACAGTCCTTAATGAGTTGTTCTTTAGAAATCCACTGGAACTTTGAATACACTGGTACATCATTGGTGACTGTAATCTTCAGACCCTGGTCATCCGGCAGTCCTTGTACCAACCTGTCTGGATCGGGTTCAAACTCCTCTTCACTCCCATCATTCCATTGTCCATTATCTCCATCCAGATCAGGATGGACAGTTTCATTGAATATGGCATGGAATGTTTTTGACTGGGCAAAATGAGAGGATACACACTCCTCATTTTTAATTTTATCTATCTGTAGTGAACTGTGAACTGGATTTAAAGTTGTACATGCAGAGCCTATGACATTTGTAGAACCACTGCTTTTTAAATTTTGAAGACTGAAAGATTTATCCATTGTTAGTGTTAAAGAAAGATTTTCCAAGGATCCAGAAGATCTTGTGCTGCTTGGAGCATGATTTTGCTCAGATGTTGTGTGCTGTGTTTCTTCTACTGTTGGCACACCACGACCGCTCTCTAGATCCAACAGGTCCTCTAGTTGCTGCTGTACCTCTTCAGTTCTGCTTTCTTTTACATTTTCGTCATGTCCCGGTATTTCTGTTAGTGCCATGTCTCCTGATGCTTTCTGTGTTTCAGCAGTGTCTTCAGATTTGATGTGAGCAGATTTCTCTTTAAGTTTTCTATGCTGTGTTGAAAGGAAGCTGTTCATTATATTATGCAAGTCTGCATCCATCTTTGTCAACTTTTTCTTAACAGCTGCTTTTTTGATTCCTAGATTTGCTGTTTTGTGATCTGAACCCAGTTGACTGTTTGTTTCCTTTGATTCAAGTTCTGTTGAGGATTGTTCATCTTTTAATCCAAGCTCTGTTGAGCTTTGTTCATCCATGGACCCAAGCTCTGTTGAGCATTGTTCATCTTTTGATTCAAGCTCTGTTGAGTGTTGTTCATCCTTGAGCTCTGTTGAGCACTGTTCATCACTAGATTCAAGCACTGTCGAGAGTTTTTCATCGTTAAGGTCTTGGGACTGCAACACTTTCTCCTTCTCTAGTTCAGTTGACAAAGGTGGTGCTTTCTCCAGCTTCACAGAAGAGAGATCAAGGTCAACTTCACAATAATCTGCTGTTTCTCTTTGTTCACTGGTCACGACAGTGTTTGACAAATTAGATACACCAGTGACTGCTTGATCATTTTCCTTAGAAATTTTAAAGGAATCTGATTCAGTTTCCTCTATTGATAAAATGTCTTGAGACTCTGCAGGAATTTCAGAGGATACGGTAACACCTTCTATTAGTGATAAAGTTGTTGAATTATTTCCACATGTTAAGCTGTCTTGGGGAGTTTGAGAGAATACAGTCCCCGTATTTTCTAATGGTAACATCTCTGTTAAAACATCTGGTTGTGCTTCTAAATTCCCATCATCCAAACAACCTCCATCTTTAATTTCAGGTGTCATGGCCTTTTTACCCACTTCAAATGAATTAACCTCTGTGTTTGGTATTATTTCTCCATTATCAATCTCCATTGAAAGCTCCTCTTCTCCAGGTATAACAGTAGCAGGTGTCTCATTCTTTCTGCTATCTTCCTGTTGCTTATCTGTCTGTGTCCCTTTAAGGTGTAATTCTTCACTTATCTCTTGATCCTCTGATGAATTTGATGGCAATGATTCATGTTTTGGTGAAGAGGTAGAGTTGGTAGTTGGCTTCTTCTGAATTTTGGGTATTTTCTTCAGTGGTATCTTAGCGCTTGTAATAATGCCTTCTATAATAGCTGTAATAAATAAAGAAATTTATTTTATAAAGTGAAATTGATAACAAAGGGAAATTGAAAATAGAAACATTTATGGAATGAAATGCATTTGATGTTTTAAACTCTAATCATTTATACATTTACATTGTATCATACATTCCAACATATCTGATAAAAATTTAAACAAGACAAACTTTGATTAACTCTGTTATGTAAATGATGATTAAAACTAATAGAAGTTTGGCACTCATTACAGTGTTTTAAGCAAGAGTTATTCCCCTTGGCCGCCATATATTGTAGGTCAACATTCCCAGATCCCCTCATTATTCAACCAAATTCAATTTGTTATACTGGGTACTGAGGTAAAGATAACTCTATTTTTCTTATGAATAAATGTTTGTAAAAGACTCATTCATAATTTCAAGATTGAAAATATTTTTCTATGTATATTTCTGGCATGCATGTTTAAAATTGGTTGCTCAAACAGGAAAATTCATTACCCAGCCCTACAAGATGGCGGGTAAGGGGAATAACTCTGAGGCAAAATACATACAGCTTACTCCACTTATATTGAACTCGCTTATTTTGAAATTCCGCTTATTTTGAAATAGAAATAAATCCCCCGTTTTTGCCTCTCATATTCTCTGCATTAAAATAACGGTTATATTGAAATCGGATATATTGAAATTTCGCTTATATTGAAGCCACTGATCGGTCCCCACAGGAAATAATGAGTTGTTTTCATAACGGTTATATTGAAGTAATCCCTCGCGGCTGTCGTTACGGTTGGTGACTAATTATGCCTGATTAACCAGTTGATGTACAAAGGTGTGAATAATGAAGTTTTTACCTTATGTGTTTTTATACTACGTGCTCTTACGAAATAAAATTCTTCACTGTTTAATTCTTTGCGTCCACGTGTATAACACGGACATATCGAGACTACACAGCTAAACGTAATATAGTAGCCCCCACAGATCTAGGGAAAAAAACATAATTTTGAAATACCGTTAATGGCTATTGATATGCCTAAATTCGAAATAATAATTAAAGAATTAACCCGAGTACACTTACGATGAAATACAAGCAGCGTTCAGCAGTACCTAACCTTTAAAGTCCGTTGAATTTTCTCCAAAACGTAAATAAATGCGATCGGGGAATAATAATGAGGGGTAAAGATTGTCTTTTCAATGAACAGATATAAAACAAAAAATCAAACCTTCAAGGACTCATATTCTTTGTATCTATTCACTGTTATAGATAAACGATGACAAATTAATTTGTTCGGGTTTGTTCTTCTTTATTTAAGATTGGGATTGAACTTGTAAAAATGGCGGCTTCACGATTTCGCTTATATTGAATTACGGATATATTGAAATAATTTGCATGGTCCCCTGAATTTCAATATATCCGGAGTAGGCTGTAATAGGAAAACCATCTGTTATATGCTGTATTTACTTTTTCTCATCTAAAATATTCATGCAGATTTAGGGTCTAATGTTATTTTCCTAAAATACATGTGTGTATTTTTGTAAAACATCAAAAAAATACTTTCAATTCGAAAAACTGTTCTCAGAGACACAGATGGGGATTGGTGACAGACACTTTACTATTGCATTAAGCTCTTCTAGACTTAACCCAGAGAGCTAAAAATCATGAACAGTTGATGTCAAAATTGCATGCACTTTAAAAATTCCATGCAAATAAATTGAGGTTTAATTACTGAAATGTATAAGCATGTATGCAAACAAAATATCTGTTCAAAATATAAACTTCATCTGCGGAATTGTTACAGTAAAAGTCAGTTACAACGAAGACACCGGGACCAGTGAAATTACTTTGCTATATCCATAATTCGTTATATCAGTATAAGGAATTCGTTAAATTTATATAGCTGGGGATCCAAGATAATTTCGCTATATCAGTGAATTCGCAATATCCGTGTTCGTTCCAATCGAGTTTTGCTGTATATGTATGGTCTGAACCTGCCACCTATGAAGACCTTCATATTAGATGAAATGTCGGTATTAAACATGCAACATGGCAAGTTGTTCTTATCTGTTTCTATAATCTACTTACGTTTCTGTAGTGTAATTTAGAAATTTAAACAAGAATTCCCTGACCCTTGATGGTCTTGCTGGTATCACACGTCAACGGAATGGCCCCAAGGGAGCAGATAGCACTAAGTATTAAGTGACTTAACTGACCACAAAAGCCATGTTTAAGTTTTTATATTCCCTACCATACACCTTTTTATTTAGATTCAGTTTTTCTTCTATCACGTTCTTTTATGATACATTTATTAAATTGTAATGTATTGCAGTTGTTGTGTTAAAGATAATACATAGAATTCTGAATTCATCTGAATTCAATAATTGCTGTATATCCAAAATTTTGTCAAATTACACTGACATTTCATTTTTTTCTCTCCAGATTTGAAGCTAAAAGGAAATGAAAACTGTCGCTCAGTAAATATATTTGATCTAGGTGCTATCTAAGCAGTATCTAACCCAATTAGTAACAAACAATATACAATTATGGACTGTTTAGAAGGGAGACATCACCAATTATCAGGTCTGAGTAGGGTTGTCACCTGAGGGCGCTTACGCCTGAGGGTGACAACCCCACTCAGACCTGATAATTGGTGATGTCTCCCTTCTAAACAGTCCATAATAGTTTTATTATCCTGAAGAATATACAATTATCAATTACGTAGAGTAGAAAATGGTAATCAAACCTCTTGTTTTCTTCTACTCTGCTCCGATTCCATACTTTCAAAATATGTCAACAGACAACTTTGACGTCATCGTTAAAATTTATTGTTTACCGATCCCGCACATTTATTTCAAAATTGTACTTATAAATAAGAGTTATCTCTCTTAAATCACTGTAGTTTCATTCAAAGGGCAACAACACAGTTGTATCCCTGCATGCTTGCTTACACTATTTCATTGTCATCTGAAGGGAGATAACAGTTGTCACCCTGCACGTGAGGGAGACATCACGAGTTGTCTCCCTGCACGTGACCTGCTCTGAACCAATCAGATTGACTGTATAATTCTGAAGGATAATAATATTGATTAATTACTATCTATATAACATTTTGCTATTAGCAAACAATTACTTCAACAGCTGAATCAACTCTAACTGGTCAGTAATGAACAATGTTAGTAGATCAACATTATACCACCTTGCTGAGCCCTGAAATCTTTTCTACTTTGGACCAGAGATCTGACTTTGCCCTTGACCTGAATGTCAGTCATTTTGCTTATGCCTGCCCTTCTAATATTAGTAAAGACAAAGGAACCAATCACTTTTAAGCGAGCATGATCATTAATTTGCTGCACTGGACACACAGTTATACAATATGCACAATTGATAAACAAGTCTGCATAAAATGAGACTAAAACTTCACACCATGAAAAATCAAAATATATATTTTTGCTATATTAGTTTGGCATTATTAAAGCATTACTGCATGAGGAATGATGATGAATGGTCAGATTCATACTAAACATAACTTTCTGAACTATTCCCCATTATCTCATCCACTACTTACCCAGTCTTATGTGGATATGCTTTGCTGTCCTGTTGATGTTTGGACCTGTGGAACAGACTGCCTCGTCTCTGGTCTCCAGGCTTACGCCCTGGCTCTGTCCTACTCTGACTGCTGGTGGCTGCCTTAGGGAGCTTTAATCTTCCTGGTTTGAAGTCTGGGTAAATTCTAGTGTAACGAGGAACAGAGTCCTTACCATCATCTGAGTTTGGTGTTTCTGATCGCCGGCTTCTCATTGATGATGAATGGCTACGGGAACTCTCACTTTCAGTGTCACTGTACAGAACCAGGTGTTTTCTGGACCCCTCAGCCTTTTTTCGGCTCTTCAAATCAGATGATTTTTCTTTCTCTTTGCCCCCTTCCCTTCCCCTCGATTTCTCTTTCCTTTCATTCTTTTCTTTCCTCTTACTGTCCTCTCTTCTTTCCTCTGACTCCTTTCTCTTACACTTGTCTTCCTTTCTGTAATCTTTTTCTTTTTGTTTCACACTTTCTTTCTCTTTTCTGTCGTTCCTATCTTGCTCTCTTTCCTCTGGTTCCTCCACCTTAATTTTCACCACTTTCGGATCCACTCCCTTTACATCCACCATTTTTGGATCATCCACTACAGGAGTTTGTATCAGGTTCTCAGGGATCTCAGTGGGCTTTTCTTTGGTCTCTGGTTCTTTCTCAGGGGACTTAATCTCGCTGCCATCAGAATTCACTCGGATCATTCTAATCTCTTTTATAATTATGATCTTGCCTTTCTTGTTTTCAATTTTTCTTTCTCCATCCGATTCACTGTCTGTTCTCTTTTTCTTCTTCAGTGGATTGTCCCACCTTCCAGACTGATCAGAAGTCTCTCCTTCCACCTTTCCAGGATCTGATTTGCTTGAACTCTTTGGTTTCTGGTCCTTGCCTATTGCACCGGTATTTTTCTCTGATGCCAACCCTTGTAGATCATCCTCCAACTTGAGATTTGTTCTACTTCCTTCATCATTTGAAGAAGAGTTGGACTTCTGAACGACATTGTCAGCATTAGAAGAAGAATCATTTATTTCTGTTTTTATGGTAGGCTTTACCTCTTCAGTAGCATTCCCAATTTTCAAATTCTCTCCTGCAATCCCACTTATTTCTTCACAGATGTTATAATATTGAGTTTTGGTCTTTTTATCCTTCTCTGTTTTCCCATCCACTTTCTTCTTCTCTAGCCTCATTTTAGGCAGTAAGTCTACCCTAAGAGGAGTTGACTGTAAAGATGGATCATTTTCATCTAAAGATAAGTTCAAGAAATCTTTCATGTCACTGGCTGTATCAATTTTGGCTTTCTTTGACAGAAGTTCATCAGTGTCTGATGGGTCTTTAACTTCATCTACTGCATCCCTCTCCTTGGGTCTTTTCTTGCTCTTCTTAGAAACGCTGTCCATTGGCTCTTCACCTTTGGTCTCTGGCTTCTCTGCAGGGTTTTTGTTATTCTTTATACTAATTTTCTCTGCTTGATCTCCGTTCTTGCTATTCCTACCATTAATTTTCTCCAGTGGTTCCTCATCTAAGTCCATATCATCCATAGACTCCTGCCTCTCACTTTCTTTTTTGATCTCTTCCTCTGTGATTTTCCTCATGCGAGCTATGTCTTCCAAGCTGTCCAATTTAAAGGTCTCAGGTTCCGAAATTTTCAGTTTTAATAAAGATTCTGTAGTAGGAGTTTCAGGTTCTAGAATTTTCTGATTAGGTCCTGGTTCTACTGAAGCTGCTTTGTCCTTCTGCTTGATTTCATATTTTCCCTTTGCTTTAAGCTTTTCTCCAGGTCCCTTTTCCTTTAACTTGTACTTTTCTTTCACATCAAGTTTTCCTTTGTCTTTCTTTTTAACCTGTTCCACCTTTTTCTTTTCTGGATGTTTGGATTCTAGACTGTTTTCTAACAACTGCTTCATGTCTTCTGCAGATTCAGCCACCTCTTTCTCCAAGTTCTTCCCAATCTGTTTCTCCTCCATCTTTCCTGCCTTTGAACTTTTTGTTTTCTTACTTTCTATGCGACTTTTCACTAATAAATGTCGCTTGATGGCATCTTTAGCTCGCTGTTGGATTTCTAGAGCTATGTTCTGCTCTTCAAAAACCTTTTTGACTTTATCAGGCTGCAAAAGACTTGATGCTGGTGGTTTGAAGAGGAATCCACCATCAAAAGATTCAGGGGCGGTGGTAACTCTGGATGGTATAGGGGGCTCTGGAAGCGGGACAATAGGCGGTGGAGGTACTTGGGGTACCTTTGTTTGTGGTGGTGTCCCAGGTGGTGCTAAAACTGAAACAAACCAATATATCAACCACAATGATCAAATCACAAATCAGTGATGCATCAAAATTTACCAATTCCTTTTTGAATTAGTAATTAATCATTCTACAATTACCAAAATTAACAAGAGGCCCAAGGGCCACATCGCTCACCTGAGCACATCTACTAGGAAAAAGCACATATAGATCAAAAAATTGCTCCTGGGTGTTTTTGAACAATGTACAATCTACATTACCTGAGGAAATTCCATATAAATAGAAAAATATCACTAATTATGGCTTTGAAGTACATGAAAAGAAGTTCTTAAAAGGTTTCCCTATATATCCTTATGTATAACTTTGGTCAGCCATTTTGGGCCCAAAACTAGCCCCAGAGGTCATGGAATCTTCACTAACTGAGGATGATTCCACATAAGTTTCGTCTTTCCTGGCCCAAAGGTTCTTGAGAAGAAGATTTTTAAAGTTTTTCCTATATATTCCTATGTAAAACTTTGGTCAGCCATTTTGACCCCACCCTAGCCCCAGGGGTCACGGTTTGAACAAACTTGAATCTACACTACCTGAGGATAATTTCATCTACAGTTTCATATTTCCTTTCTCAATGATTCTTAAGAAGAATATTTTTAAAAGATTTTTCCTATATATTTCCTATGTAAAACTTTGGTTGGCCATTTTGGCCCCGCCCTAGCCCCGGGGGTCATGATTTGAACAAACTTGAATCCACACTACCTGAGGATGATTCCACATGAGTTTCATCTTTCCTGACCCAGTGGTTCTTAAGAAGAAGATTTTTAAAGATTTTTCCTATATATTCCTATGTAAAACTTTGGTCGGCCATTTTGGCCCCGCCCTAGCCCCAGGGGTCATGATTTGAACAAACTTGAATCTACACTACCTGAGGATGATTCCACATGAGTTTCATCTTTCCTGGCCCAGTGGTTCTTAAGAAGAAGATTTTTAAAGATTTTTCCTATATATTCCTATGTAAAACTTTGGTCGGCCATTTTGGCCCCGCCCTAGCCCCGGGGGTCATGAATTGAACAAATTTGAATCTACACTACCTGAGGATGATTCCACATGAGTTTCATCTTTCCTGGCCCAGTGGTTCTTGAGAAGAAGATTTTTTAAAAATGCTATTAATTTTTCACTAAATAATTATCTCCCCTTGGAAGAGGGTGTGGCCCTTCATTTGTACAATCTTGAATCCCCTTCACCCAAGGATACTTTGTGCCAAGTTTGGTTGAAATTGGCCCAGTGGTTCTTGAGAAGAAGATGAAAATGTGAAAAGTTTACGACGACGCCAACAACGCCAACGACAGACGACGGACAAATTTTGATCAGAAAAGCTCACTTGAGCCTTCGGCTCAGGTGAGCTAAAAATCATGAATACATAAATTGCTTTTTTGACTGAAGGAAATTTATTTGCTCTGTTTCATACCTGGTATTGGCTGTGGTGATGGAAATGAAATAGGTGACATTTTTGAACATGGAAACTCCACAGTACCAGGACTGATCATTCCTTGACTGGGACTCCCATGGGTATCTGACGTACTTCCTCTCGGCATTGGAGCAACAGGATTTACTTTAGGGGACATGTTTTTGCTTAGCCTGGGGTCACTTCTGTGCATTGTGGTTTGAACATTTTGATTCATATTACCCCTGTCTGAGGATGAGGCTCCATATGGACCATTCTGTGACCAAGCAGGCTTAGTTGGAGAATTGAAAACATCATTTGATATATTATGCATTTGAAGAGGAGGTGGAGTATTAAACAATGGATTAGATGCCCCACTGATTTCAAATGTTGGTCCTGGTACTCTGGGACTTCTGTTTGGATCAAATCTTCCCCTAAAAGCATTGCCTTGAGTGGAATTCCAATTTGGATCTGGAAACCTAGGACCTCCAAAACTGGCATTGTTTCTAAATTGGGGCATTGGGCCCTGGAACCTTAGATCCCCTTGAGAAAGGGGAGGCTTGTATGGGGACAGGGGTGAAAAGTTTGGTCTCAGCAGATATTGTGCATCAAAGTTTGGTCCACCTTGGAATGTGTTGGTAGGATTGAAAGACATTGATGATTTTGATTCTGGGGAACAAGAGAAGCCATGTTGACCTTCTCTACTTATCCTTCTTTGTGGTGAACTTCCACGGAACTCAGGTCCATTATAAGGACCGTGAAATGGTGAATTTGGAGCTACTGGGAGGGATTTTTGGGCGGATGGTGGCATTCTGTAGGGAGGGGTGTTGGGTACACCAGGGTAGTTGGCCGGGGATTGAGGAGGAGTGGAATGTGGGACTAACGGATTTCTGGGACTACCAAACGGAAGATTCTGAGGCCAAGACACAATATTGGAACAAGGAGATCTCTGATAGTCTATCATTGGAGAGGGTGGAATGGAGTGCTGAGGACTAGAGGGAGGGAGGAATGGAGAGGAAGAGGACTGGTGGTTCCTGGATGAATCTTCTGATCGCGGACTTGATGGAGGTAATGATGAAGACATTGGGGGTAGTGGTGGCTTAGCTGGGCTGCTGTTGTACTTGTCAGCTTCCTTACCATTGCCAGCAGGATTAGACAGTCCTGAAAAAAAGATAAGCATATACATACATACATACATACTTTATGTGAACTTAAAGGTACTTGGACACAGATTTGAAGTTAATATTTTCTCATTTTTTGTGTATAATATCACGAATTATATATTTTAATAGCATTTCACACAAAAATTAATTAAAAATCTTATTTCATTTAAAAGTTATTAAAACTTTAAATTTTTTGGCGGGTTTGATTGACACATCCTTGCACTTTCACAAATTTTAACTTTATTCTTAGTCCTTAGGAAAAGTGGCAATTTTGATGTGTTTTAATGAGAAATATTAAAACTTTTATCAAGAAAAATAATTTATTCAGAGTAGAAATCAGCAAAACACCTTCACAAGTATCGGCATTCCGAACTAAGAGATGCGTACAGAGTTTAGGAAATCGAGCACACTCGTGTTATGTACACAGTTTTTGTAAACAGGGCTCGAGTTCTGTTATTGTTTATATTTAGAATTCACCGGGTGCGTTCAATCGTCACAGTCTGCTTACCACAACTGCACGGACTGACAATAGATTGTGTGTTTGTAAATACTCTGAATTTTCTGGATTATAGTATTAATATTTTTCATTTATACAAAACGAGATTGCCACTTTTCCTAAGGATTAAGAATAAAATTAAATTTGTGAGAGTGCAAGGATATGTCAATCAAACCCGCCGAAAAATTTGAAATTTCAATAGCTTTTAAACGAAATAAGATTTTTAATTAATTTTTGTGTGAAATGCTATTAAAATATATAAGTTGTAATATTATAGAGAAAATAATAACTTCAAATCTGTGTCCAAGTACCTTTAAAAGGGAGACTTAATATTTCAGCAGCTCTGACTAAGGCAATAATCAGCCAATTCATAAATACTGCTTATACTGTAAATCATTCATAAATACACTGCATGAATGTATGCAAGAGTAGTTCAAGATTATGCTAACCCCTCAATACCCTGTAAATGTGCTAAAGTTTGAATATGTCAACTTTTCAAGAATACATGTATGTTATTAAGTTACTATTTGTAGCGTTTCTGTTTACTTACTTTTTCTAGCAGATGTTCTGGATAAAAACAAGCAATACAACAAAACAGGATACTGATGTGGGCGGCTCAATCCTGAAACAAGTAAAACATAACTTCTTATGAAGTTGCAATAGATAAGAGCAATGTCTAATAGGGAAAAAGTTTCAATTGTTTAATAAACTTAAATAGCCACTACCTTTCTCAAACCAAAGGTAATTAGAAATTACAAGGCTTCCCTTCATCTAAATAGACATAAGGCAAAGTTTTATATCTTGGAAATGGGCTTATTCTGAAAACTTTAACCTGTTCACTCATCTAGTAAATGCAGGTCAAAGCCAGCACTTGAAGCAATTCTATTAGAATGCATTCATAGATGCAACATCCATACAATTTTGATCCTAATAAGGTGTGTACTTACTTATGGACTCTCTCTAAACACTCATCAGAAATCTAGCATTGAAAGCAAGCCTATTAGTGTGCATCCCTAGATGTATCATTTATGCAAGTTTGATCGTGGAAGGGCTTATAATTATTTGGGAATGAACTTGCTCCTAAAACTTGAACCAAGATGCAGATGTCTGGGGGATAGGATAATCTCACCTCCGTTTCATTGAGGTCAAAATGAGGTGAGCTAAAATATTCACCATAAATATCGAATATGAGTAGTATGAATATGAAACCTTCAGAACACTGATCAAAAAACATCAAACATAATTTTTTCCACAAACATTTATCCTGTTTACCTAGTTGGTATGTTAGTTCACTTTGTGTCAGCATCAACAAAGTCACATCTTTCTCTAGCTTTTGAACTGCAATCTACCAATTATACACAAAACATTAACTTCTGTAAGGCAGAAAAGGTTTTATTAAAAGTATTTACTTTATTTAAAAAGCCTCTTTACATAACTACTTAATTTGTTAAAATATCTTTAAATTAAGTGTCTACAACAGTGAAAAATATTCTCTGCAATGATTTAATTTCCATGTCTGCATGGGGATACGATTGAATGTTCGTATTTGAATAAAGTTAACATTAATTAGAATACAATTATACATTCCTCAAGTACATGTACATATCTGAAAAAGATCTATGTCATCTGTACTTACAGCATTATGCTTTCCCAGGTAGTTCATGACTCTCTGAAAATGGGACCGTCCCTCAGGGGCCAGTGGGCGGAGCTCACAGGCGTTGACATAGTAACCATTCCAATAGCCCTCACTGCTCTTCCTAATCCCGCTCACATTTCTCAGGTACTTCTGTTGAACCTGCTTCACACCCAGTTTAGAGCTGATGTTAATTTGGCTCCCTCTGATAATAAAGTAGAAACAGGCAAGTTAATATACAGGGATCAGTCTAGTATTTTATCATATATCTACATCATACAGGTAAGATTATCATAGATCAAAACAAAAGACCATCAGGCCTGAAGACCATAAACCAAGAAGAGACTTAAGTTAAAATTTTGATTTTAAAACTCTTTTAACATTTACTTAAAAAATGTGCATGAAAATTTCTAGATTTATAAAGAATTTCTAAAATTCAAACATGAGAAAAATCTGTTTCAATTTGAAAATTAAATAAGTCTTATGTTTTGAAATTTTGACTTCAGTCTTTTTCAAGGTTTATGGTCTTGGGGCCAGATGTTGCAAAAATCATTTATATCATATATTAAACACATGACTCACAGGACAGCTGGTTTTACAAAGGCTGCTGCTGATGTCATTTCTACACTGCAGGCATAGAGTCCCTTAATGGTCAGACTACCGGACCAGACTACAAACTCCGGCTCCCCGTCTCTAGTGGATCCTCCTCCCCTAAACAGGGACTGATGTACTCTGTAAATGTAAAGGATCAACAACTTAAACTTGAATAAAAGAAATCTGGTTTGTCAAACGTTACAAAAGAAACCAACAATCCCAAGTAAAAATTGATTTAAAATAAAAAGTATTCTAGTAAAAACTTCAAATGATGAAGTATTTGAGGAAATTATTATATTTTAGACATGAATATATCTACAATAACTAACAAATTTCTATTAAAATATCATTGATTACATACATGTTAACCTATTGTCAGTCTATGCGAAAGTCACCGGACCGTCGGTTTTTACCGGTAAAATTTAGGTCGGGTCGGTAAAAAATTTCAGTATACAGGACCAAATGTCCGATAAAAAATAAGGCCAAATAAATCTAAATTAAGAGGTACACATGGTCAAATTCCCCACAAATATCCTTTATTTGACCAATTTAGCAGTAATACCTGATTAATTTTTATGTATTACAACCCTGTCATGATCGTTTTTATTCTAATTCGAATTTCCTCTGTCAAGGATTAGAAATCTTTAGATAGCTCATACGTAGATTTGGTTGGGAAAATATTTAGATAGCTCATACGTAGATTCGGTTGGGAAATTATTTTCAAATGATCATTGAACTTGAGTAACCATAATGAATTGTTTAAGGAAAAATAAATATGAATTGAAAGTGCATATTAAATTTAAGAAAATCTTTGATACATTGAATGTTGTATTAGTCAAATATTAAGAAAAAAATGCATGCAATTGTATAAATAGATACCTTTTACAAAGGAAAATTTTAAATATTTAACTTGTCTATTTCACTCTGAATTTATTTAAGGTTAAATTTCACGGTGAGAATTAACCCCATCCCACCCACCCTCTCAATCTCAGTATTATAATGATGTATGGATTTAAAGGAAAAAAAAGTCGGTCTGGTAAGAAATTGTTCGGTCTGGTAAAAATTTTATATTTACCAGACATTTTGTCCTGTAAAAATTTTAAACTTTCGCGTAGACTGCTATTGTGATGAAAAAGAGGGAGATTCAGACCTCAAAAGCGGTAGCATTGCGCGCGTGTTGTTTAACGCTTAGATTATCGATATCTTTCATGTATATACATGTATATTATAAGCCTTAAATGAAATCAGGTACCTACACTAATTAATCTTAAATATCAACAGCAAAGAAGAAGACAGAAAGACCTTAAGTTTGACATAAATTGTACAAATTCAAATATTTTTCATGCTCATCATTTTGCTTGGATTGGCTGCTTTACTTAGCCTTTTGAAGAGTGATCTTTGCTGAAATAGCCTAGAAGCAATAATTCTGAATGTTCATTCAGTTTTTAAACATAACAAATGATGGCATGGTTTAATCTAAGTCTAAAACAAGTTCGTATCTTTCGTTATATGAATCAGATTTCCCGCGATGATCGAAAACGGAAGTAGAGATGTGCCACATGGTTTGGTCAATCGAGTGATTTCTATTGACTTTATTGATAAAGTTGTGAGCTTCTGTGCTTTTAAAGACGATGTCAAATGTTTTCATCAAATTCTTAAAAGCTGTATCTCCTTTTTCATGGCAGGGATGTTGATTAATTTATCGTAACCAATGTAATCACTGGTAGTCTTATGTTGTTGTCGTTGTCATATCCGTGCTTGAAATCTATGTACAAAAAAGCGTTTGTATGATTCCGAGTCAAATCACGCGATATCTAGCGAGATTTTATGATAGTGGCTTCAAAAATGGATACCCAAGCGAACCAAAAATACTTGAGACGCAGCTTTTGTAGAAAAGCGGTAGATTTCTGAATTAAATCGGTAGGCGGGAGATGGAGTGAAAAAGCGGTAGACTCCCGCCTAAATCGGGAGAGTTAACATGTATGTTGATTACTACCACTACAAATGGACTGACTTTCTTTTCACTCCGTCAATAAGTTACCTTGGACTGTTTGTTCGTGGGTCCTTTGAATCTTTTTCATACACAAAACTGACCACGGCCACAGGACAGACATTTCTGGGGTACTGTACAACCCCCTCCTCTCCATACTCATACATGTACACCTAGAATTTATCATATCAGTTAAAATTCCAAACCCTGGACAGGGCTAATGCAAGGAGCACTCGACAGAAGTTTATTCTGGGAAGAAATTAAGCATTCAAACAATAGAAAGTGCAATAGCATTATAATAGAAATTAGTTACCTGGCCCCATGACCATGAACTAAGAACAGACAAAGTCAATTCTTTTTTTATTTTTAATATCTTGAGTTGTATTTAACATATTTCATTGAATTTGCAATTTTGTAACATTGAAATTTAAACATTTCCTGAAACTTTGTATCATTATCAAAATTATTTCAAAAGTTATACTGGTCTGAAATTTTGATTTCAGTCTGTTCTCTGTTTATGGTCTTGGGGCCAGGTCTTTCAGTCCATGCACCTGGGATTACTCACTATCTTTTTTTGCAATAAAACTTCTTTTTAGTTTACAATTAAGAAATGCTCACCTGACTGGATTCAAACAAGCTCTGACAGGATGCTGATGGGTCAGGGACATTACTGCTAACATGACAATCAAAGTGTGGAGTGGGCTCTAAGGGGTTCTCAGTTATGGACTCAGATACAGATTTGATTCTGCCCTGTAATAACCAAGTAATGAACACTGCGAATTAAAATTACATTTAATGGCAAAGCTTGACTTTATACTTCTTAAATGTTCAACGATGGTTTTTATATTGATTCAGAAACTGTAAATAGTCTAACTTTTATTTCCAATTCCCATGCAATTATGTATTTAACAAGTAAAAAGCAAACGGCAAAAAGAATTCAGCCATTAGAAAACCTTGAAAGTCAATCAGACTATGGTTTTACATGTTAAAAACATTAAAAATGAATGGGCCATCGATATTTCCTGCAGAGCTTTTTTCGTGAAAAATATGAAATTATGACGAACAATTATGATACACACAACACTACATTTAATTCTGTTTGTTTGGGGTGGTGCATGCCCCATGCCCTTCACAATCACCAAGAATCAAATTTACAATTATTGTAGCACTAACCTTGATAATTTTGAACAGAATAAGATATCCTGTGTCATTTGGTTGTAGGGGTACAGGTTTGATTATGTCTGCATGCTTACACAGCTGAACCCCTGATATGGAAATTAAATGGTATAAATATTTACAATGCCACAACTCTCTCATTCATCAAGTTTAAAATATGACTATACCATTTTTCAAAAATACTTATTAGTAAGAGAATGAACATTCACATATACATGTAGAAGGACATTTTTACATTGTATAAACTTATGAAGCAGATTGTTATTGTTAACTGCCCTAATTTTAGTCCTACCCATCACTGGATGTCCCAGGCAGGACCTTGGGTAGTTCCCTATGGGAACCCCATCTCGACAGATTTTGAACATGAGCTCCTCATCTTCCACACATAAGAAGGCTACGCAGTCTCCGGACTCCTTGTCTGAATACCCACTGTTCCTCAGCTCTTTGCGTTTTTCCAAGTACTGCAACCAATAAACACTATTTTGAATCTTTTTCTTCCCTAAATTAATGTTGTGTGCAATACACATCCAATTATTTTACATTTATCTTAAGAAAAAAAAGTTTGTTTGAAGTCAATGGTACACAATTTTACCAAAAACAACACAATAGTAAGTTAAGCAAATTTGTGTTGAATCTTCAACTGCTTTCATCTTGTTCAATTAATATGTTAAGGGTGTCATATGGGGCTCTTGATTGTCTCTAACTAGGGGCATTCAAAAGCCCCATTCCCAATTCAAAACAGGTACCTTTTCCTTTAATTGAATGTGTTAATTTTCCTAATAGTCATTACTTCAAAATTAGTGAAAATTTAGTTAGATATATAATAACTAAACCTGCTATTTAGTCGGTATTACAAAACAGATTTTTTTTAGTTTATAATTAACATTAGAAAGTAGAACCAGAAGTCTCTGTCGAGACTGAATCTCTACTGGTTTGTACTTATAGCAAAGGAAGAGAAAAGTACTTAAGCAGTTGGAAATTGAAACTTTTCAACAGCAATAAATAGAATAATGATCCTTGATTAAGTCTCTTTATGTTCTTAGTGCAGTCCACTTGCATGCCACATTTATATTATAATCAGACTAAAATTGTATTTGGAGTAGCATTTTGAAAGAATTTCACAGAAATTTCTATTTTTAGTAACCACGGCAACACCGTTCATCGAAATCAAAAACCGGTATACAGAATTATGTATCTTAGTGTAGTATACTTGTGTGCCAAGTTATATTGAAATCAGACTAAAAATGTAGAAGGAGTAGCATTTTAAAAGAATTTCACAGAAATTTCTATTTTTAGTAACCAAAGTAACACCGTTCATCGAAATCAAAAACCGATACAAAGAATTATGTATCTTAGTGTAGTCTACTTGTGTGCCAAGGTATATTGAAATCAGACTAAAACTGTAGGAGGAGTAGCATTTTGAAAGAATTTCACAGAAATTTCTATTTTTAGTAACCACGGCAACACCGTTCATCGAAATCAAAAACCGATACACAGAATTATGTATCTTAGTTTAGTCTACTTGTGTGCCAAGTTATATTGAAATCCGACCAAAACTGTAGGAGGAGTAGCATTTTGAATAAAGTGCCACGCCACAGCATGATACGCCCGTCAAAAATTACAATTAACTTAAACAGTTTAGAGTGCAAGTAAATCATGTAAACCTTGATTCTAAAATTTTCATGATTTTTTCTATTCCTTAAAATATTTGTTTATCCATCGATATCCCCTGTGGTGTAGGCATTAATCATAACAAATTACATCATTGATATATATCTATACTGGTTGTATTAGACCTTGTCAAATGCTCATCATATTAAACAATATCAAATTAGTCTTAACAACTTAATTTAAACCAAATTAATTTTGAAAAAAAAAGGCTGGGCCATCAAATGACATATGCTATTTAAACTGACCAGCAGTTCTTCTGTCTAATTCTCAAAGGATACAGATATAAGAAGATGCTAGCTAGCCTTCCTAAATTGAACTCATTAATTAATCTTTGACTGGATGCTTGTCTACTCATTAATATAGATGAATGAATCTGCACTATCTACCATAAAATATTTTTAAAACATATAAAATACTCAATGATTTTTTTTTTAACATGTAATGTCAGAAAGGTTTTAATATGCAATTTCTATGGAAAATGGACATGCTGATTCCACCCCTATGAAATTAGTTTTTTAAATTAATAATATTATAAAATATTAGATTAGTTTATAATGCAATACATGTATCAAATTAGTGTTAATTACTTTTCATCAAAATCATTTTAAAACTTAGGCTAGCCAACAAGAGCTATTTTTAATCCAACAGGCTTACCCATCTGCCCAATTCCCAAAGGGATATAGATTACACCGATGCTCTCCAGTTTGCTCCTCACACTAACTCATTAATTTCTCTCTAATTTGACATGCAATTTTCTGTTATCAAAACTCTTGACCAGTGCTTGATAATTACACTCATGGGAGACATGGAATTTCTCTAACATACAAAATATCTGTTATAGATTGCTGTCAAGTAAATGCTGAAAAAAATAAGTATTTTCTTGATTTAACACTTCTTTAATAAGGATACAACTAAAATTTTGCATTTTTTAGGATTATGAAATTCAAAATTTACAAGACTTAGTTTTTTAACAAATTTCACTTAAATTAAAGGTCACAGTGACCTTGAAATAGGTCGCGACACACCTTCTACCCAAGATGTATACATTTGCCAAGTTTGATAGTTCTAGGTCTAATAGTTTACTAGTTATGAGCCGGACAGGATTTTTCCATATTTGGCCATAGCATCTTAATTAAAGGTCAGAGCGACTTACTTTTTGTGCCCGACACACCGTCTACCCAAGAAGTATCAGTTGACAAAGTTTGATAATCCTAGGCCTATTAGTATTGAAGTTATGAGCCGGACAGGAATGGACAGACGGACGGACGGACGGACGGACGGACACGAAGCCTATAACATAATACGTCCCGTCTTAAGACGGGCGTATAAAAATTGTTTACAGACAGACGGACAAACAGACAGACATTACTATCGCATAAGCTCTTCTGGTCTCTGAGCAATACTGTGAGCAATAAGCTCACTAAATGATACCCCCGCCTCCCATATAATGTCCATGTGTTGCTATATATTGTTTTACGGTAATGTGTAAAGAGGAATAACTCGTCCTATCAAATGTTATCCAGAAGCTTCTATATGTGACGTCATAGGTAAACATATAATGGCAATGTCCATGTTTTGCTATGGGAAACCTAAAATATGTGTCGCATAAAAAAGTAAAATAGGAGGTGCACAATGGCAATATGTTATAAAGATTCTGTGAAAGTTTCATTAAATATCACTTGGTAGTATAAGAGGAATTGCAGATAAGAGATAAAGCATAACAGACAGATGGACGGAAATCTCGATTACTATATACCCTCCCACTTTTCAAGCGGGGGGGTATAAAAATACATCTTGTTTAAAAATTGTAATGGATATACCCAAAGTCCCCTAAAAGGTCACAAAAAATGGTACAAATGCTATGGAATGCTAATAGGATGAAACCACGCTCCTCCTTCATGGCACAACATGTACCATACAATTTTATTTTTAACATTTATTTCCTATAAGATGTCTTTGATAAATTGTTTTATGGTTTTTTTTTTTTTTTTTTACTTAATTTAGTCACTTCATTTACGAAAGATTTGAATGTTACAGATTATTTTGCAAGCTATATAGTCCTTAAAGACCCATTTTTTTTTACCGTACGGTTACCTGAGGTGGGGGAGTGGTCTATGTAACAGTGGTGTTATTTACCTAGAGACCCAATACTCAAGATGTCAAAAATCTGTGTATACGTAGCATTACACAGCAAGTCTCTGTTTGGAAATCAAGGTCAACATTACGTTTCGTGTCTAATTTTTAGTGAAACTCCTTAATATAATTAAATTATTTCAATATAAAATTCATTTGTAAACTAAATGCATTCTTCGTAATCTTTTGAAGGATAAAATTATAAAGAAATATAGTTTTATTATAAGATTGTGTAAATACTAGAAAGCAACCAATTCTACATAATACATTTTTTTTTAATCTTCAGTAAAATAAACCACCATGATTAAAGAAAAGTGTATATATGTTGAAATAAAAAAAATTCCATTCATCCGTCGCGTGAAAATTTACCGCAATCATCAGATTTTTTTGAATTTTCTGGTCAACAATGTTGTGGATATTATTCAATATTTCCGAGTGTTTGTGTGTATACAAACTTTTATTATTTGAAAGATTTATTTTTAGGGTCAATCTATGTTCGTTATCTTCACCTTTTCATTACGAATATTGACAGACGATAGAGGAGATTCGAGCAATATAATTCTGACATTTCTTTACAACCAGAGACGTCCAGATCTCTGTTAACAACATCGTGTAGATCAGTGCTCCAAGTCACACTTGCTCTTAGGTCGCAAAATGGCAACCTAAAAATTTTTTTTGGTCGCCATAATCAAATATTTCACTTGCCATAAAAAAAATACATTCTGTGAATAAAACTTGATGATTTAAATAAGGAATATGTATTATGTCTTTATTATGTCAAAGATTACTTATTACTGTTACTATAAAAATTTGCTAGGTTGAATGAAATATTTTTATTGAATACATGTACCCTTATGGTTGTACAGAAGAACACAAGTAATCTGATTACAGAAATAACATTTTATCAAATGAAAATACAAGCTTGACAGCTGTTGAGACAGGACTTTGCCTGCTGTTTCAGTGTTTGTCATGTTTACTTACTACTACGTACCTAACCTACTACACAGTCATTATAAATGCCGCCAAAACACTCTTTATTAGCATGATTCATTGTGATATGCAAGCAATTGACCAAATACTTCAATAACAAGGTCAGATCTTAGAAAGTTTTCGAAGCTTGGATGTCATTCTATCAGGAACATTATTTATACACGTCTCTGGTTCTATCAAACTTTGTACAGCATGCTGCCATAACATTACGTGATCCAAGTCCATGTGACGCTTTGTAAAGTGTATTTCAGTATATGTCATCAAACATTTTCTTGATAGAGAATCTTTACAAATGAAATCTCGATCCCGATCTTAAAAATGGACATTTCCAGCCCAAATTTTCTGTCGCGAAAATGCGAGTGTGTTTTCATTTTTAGTCGCAAAATCAATTTTTTGGTCGCAAATGCGTACCATTTTTCGCAACTTGGAGCACTGTAGATTGAATCCATTATACAAAAATAAAACATCTTTTGTAAACCATGCCACTACTGTTGAATATTTTTACTTATTTATATATACATGTTATTGTTCTATTTTTTTTTTATTTTAATCGGTGGACTTCCAATTGCGGTAAATAGAATTTCTGTGGACGACCTAAATATTTCTAGAGATATCTCGGACGACATGTCACTTACAAGTACCAAACAGTTGTGAGGATTAAAAATAAATATTTTATGAAATCAGTGTTTTGATTATCTACTCTAAATTATTTTTTGAAATAAAATCTTTACTGGTTTTTGTAACCCGCATGTATCAGCTGTGTATACAAGGTGGGTACATGAAAGTGTTTGATGCATGACCAGGCAATTGTCTTCAAAACACACAAACTCAGATTATCAGCTAGCACAGATAGCTGGCCTGTCAGTGAAATCAGAAGCTATTGTTTTTTTTTTTTAAATGACTGACAGGCGGTAAATAATTGATCTTGAGTCAGGTAGATTTTGGGGGCGTCAACGTAAAATTGGGTGTTTAAAAAAACTTTTTTATTACTTAATTTTGCTTAGTAATGTGTTTATATCTATACTAAACCTAAATGAATAATGATCCTGACTGAAAAATGAGCTGAACAGAAAGTGGTGATTTAGCAACGTGTATCAAACCAGTAAAAAAAATACTGCAGTGAATCGATACCATGGTGATCCATTTCACTCCTTTATGCTAAATCTTGAGCCAGAAGTCTCTTCTGAGATTAGCTACTCTGATTTGTACTTATTGATAACAGTTACATTTAAAATATTAAATTGCTCAATTTTTTTCTCTACTTGAACCGACGATGGACACATTCCATTGCAAAAGCTCTTCCAACCACTGACCAGTTATGCATATAATTACCAACTTGAGTAGATCTCTGTTGTGCACACTTTGTACTTTGGTGTATTTAAATTTTTCTGCTGATTGTGAGTTTCTGTAACTCTTCACAATTGCTGGTAATATTTCATACTGGAATTCACGGGAATTGATCATCAAATCTACCAAAATATCTGAAAAAAATAACAGAATGTTATGAAAAATGTTCCTTATATAATTATAAATATTTATAATATACTGCAATTTAAAAATTTAACAAAACAAACTGAATGCCTACTTTCATTTTAGTAAAGTCTAAACATTTTTCCTTCATTCCCCTGATGTCCTTATTTATATAAATAAAATAATCCTTATTTACCACTTTCATCTCTTTTCCTTTTGGGGATGATAAACTGGGAATCAGTCTTCATTTTTGAAGCATCGTCGCTACGTGCTGATGAGCAGATTTTCACCTCTGAAGTCTTCCCGCCATCTTGTTTGTTGACGGCGTACGCGGAAACCAGGCCCCGTCTGGCCTGGGAGCTTCCACGTTTTCTCGCGTGACATCGGTTTCTGGTTCTGGTTCCTTCTTTATATTGGATGATGCATTCTTAGAATTGTCAGAAGCTTGCAGCGTGAATGTTTCTTTCAGTCTATCAAAGAGATTTGCCATATCATTTTCTCAACCATGCATCGACTTTTTTCTCTTTTTGACATGAGACCACGTGAAAGAAGAACGAAGGATTTGATTGGTCGATTATTCATTATTAAACAACTTGTACGTATAAATGTCCATTCTAACAGCAGAGCAGCAGTAGAAACAATTTGATATTAATTTTAAAGTCTGGTGATACTTTCTGTTATACTAAACGTTTAAATTTTTATGCAATAATTAGATTTTACGAAAGCAAGCCGTTATCGAAAATTCGGGGATATTTAGTTTTTGCCTTGTTCGTTTGTCTGTTTATAATTGTTTGTTCGCAAAAAGCTTGTCCTTGCCCATAACTTTTCATTGGTTTGAGGTGTATGGCTTTCATGAATATTTCACATATGTATATTCCTTGTGGTAAGGCCTTCCTTTGGCATCAACATTATTTAACCTCTTGATCTTAATTGACTTTGGAGTTTTATCCACTTTTGTCAAAAATTACCAACATTAATTACTTGCATGCACATAATTTTTGAATTCATGTAGTTGCATGGTGCTAGGGCTTTCATATTTCAGAGATATAAATTTAAAATGTTAGATCCGGATGTGATATCATCTATATAAAAACTAGAGGTAAATGTGAGCAATGGGCTAAAAAGTTCCCACATGTCCCATATGTGTATAAAACAGTTATGTTTTGCTACGGGAAACCTTTAATATGTGTCGCATAAAAAAGTAAAATAGGAGGTGCACAATGGCAATATGTAATAAAGATTCTCTGAAAGTTTCATCAAATTTCATTCAGTTGTATGAAAGGAGTTGCGGATAAGAGATGATCGAGTACCCCAAAGCGTAACAGACGGACGGATTGGACGGACAAAGAGGACGAAATCGGACAGAATTAACGATTACTATATACCCTCCCGCTTTTCAAGCGGGGGTTATAAAAAAAAGTTACACCGAAGAATAATGACCAAGTCATACCCATTTATTTTTTTATACCCCCCGCTTGAAAAGTGGAAGGGTATACTGTAATCGGTATGTCCGTCCGTCTGTACGTCCGTCTAGCTGTCTGTCTGTCTGTTACGCTTTGAATGAATTTCGATGAATCTTTATTACATATTGCCATTGTGCACCTTCTATTTTACTTTTTGATCCTACATATATTTTGGGTTTCCCACAGCAAAACAGCCATCAATAACCATATGGGGAGAGAGGGGGGGGGTTACTTTAGTGAGCTCATTGCTCACAGATTTACCTCTAGTTTCAAAGTGTGTTAATTAATATGTATGTTAACGCATTTCAAAAAAAAAAAGTTTTATCTTAGAAAGTGTGTTATGATTAACTTGATCACAATTTTAACGCACTTTGATTTTTATACCCCCCGCGTTGAAAAGTGGGAGGGTATTTTGAAATCGGTATGTCCGTCCGTCCGTCCTTCTGTCTGTTACGCTTTGGGGTGCCCAGCTTATCCACAACTCCTCTCATACCACTGAATGAATTTTGATGAATCTTTATTACATATTGCCATTGTGTACCTTCTATTTTACTTTTTGATTTACATATATTTTGGGTTTCCCACAGCAAAACATGGACACTGCTATTATATTCATATGGGAGGCAGGGGGTATCATTTATAGTGAGCTCATTGCTCACAGTACCTTAGTTTTGTTTTGTTTTGTTTTGTTGTTTTGTTTTGTTTTTTAAGTGCGTATATAATTATATTCAATTTTTCAATGCGTCCACCACAGAACAATTTTAGGAAACAGTTTTTCTCATCCAAATTCACAACAAGCGAGTTTATGGTCTGCATGTAGAGACGACTATATGGGATAAGAAGGAGATAGAAACATATACAGTTTGGTAATCATAAGTACAATATATTTAGAATTAGGTAATGAAATGCTTGATTATGCAGTTAATTGACCAAATGAAATTAAAAGGCATAACTTCCCTAACCGTGCGCAGATCGAAAATCTTGCGCCGTAAATTACACATTGTTTGCATTACAGAATCTTAATTCGGCTTAACGGTCAAAGACTTAAAATATAAAACCATAACGCGCCAGGCACGTAGCATCGGCCGGTGGGGGGTGGAAGGGGGGCTCCTTTCCCCCTTTTCAGACATAAGGTTATGCTATAGAAATTGCTCATTGAAAGTCTACTTAATTGCCCCCCCCCCCTCCCCACTTTCGGTTGCAAGCAGTATTGGCAATTTCAAATAAGGGTAATGTAGTGTTTTAGTGAAAAGGGGCACTGAAAGAAGTACACCCCCACCCCTCGAAATAGGATTTAATTACGAGTTTGGACAATTTTCCCTTTTTATGGCTTGTCATTTTTTTCAGGTAGTGCTAAGCTAGCAGAATATTTTTCCCGGGCTGCCTCCACCTTCGAAAACGATGCGCTTGACTTAGACTAACTTCATAAAGTTTAAACTTTTAATGTAACATACGATAGCACATGAATCATATATGGAGATAACGAACAGTATTTCATATTTGTAATAAAACCAGCCTCTTTAGGGGTTTACCTTATGCATGCATAAATCAATCAAAGTTATTGTATTCTAAAGAAAGGTAAAAAAAAATGTCACAAGAAGTGAATACGAACATGATGAAAGCACTATAGGTTGTAACTGTTCAAAATTTATAGCCAAGGTTACTTCAAAATTTATAGCCAAGGTTATTTAGTAATAGTTTTTAGAGGTCTTGTCAAATATTTATAAATGTAAAATATAAAAGCCCTATCACCAACTATTCAAAAGTTATGGCCAAGGTTAATCGTTTGGCAAAAATGGGTTAAACTCCAAGGTCAGTGTAAAGATGTCAAATACACTGTATATATTGATACCCAAAGAGAGCTAGCTAGGCCATGTCACTATAGTAAGCACGTAACATATGTGATGTGATTAATTTAAAAAAAAAAATATATTATGAAACACATAGCTCCAAGCCTCCAACAAGTCAAAAGTCAAAAGATAAAGTATGAAAAAAGTATATACCCCTGGATCTTCGATGAAGGGGGCGTAAAAAAGCAAGACAAATATTCCGAAAGTTGGCGTCGGTTGTACAGGGTACTAGATTTACCAATAGCGAAGTCTTTGCACCGCTTGCCTGAGAGATGTAGTAACCAAAACTTCATAGTAGTGATATATCGTTTGTGATTTTAGGTAAATTTTACATTTTTTGTTAGATGCATATGATCTGACACCAGGAGAAAATTGTCAATAGTAAATAAACATATAAAACGCAAAATACCTCATACGCACATGTCACAACTCGAATTTCCTCTGGCTCTCGAATTGATCATGTGTTGATTTTGATTACATAAGGTAATATTATTTACTATTCTTTTTCATGTGTCAGTCCCTATAGAATTTTGTGCAATTTGTCCATTTGTCAAAATCAATGTTTTTGTCGAGGATTAATTATCTCAATTAGATGAAAACAAAGAGTTTTTATTTTAATTTTTATTTGCAAGGTAAGTATTTATTGACTTATTTTAGTAAATACACTCAGGCAATCATTACTCAAAGTAATGCCTTAATATTAGGTTGTTTTTTTACTTGTCATGAACACCATTTCTGATGTACAATTATACATATTGCATTTTTTAGTGATTTCAATCAGACATTTTTTTCAAACCATATTTGTTTACCATTTTGAGTGGCACCGAATACAGGCTCCTACAAGGCTACAACCCCTAGATAACCTCATAATCTTGACATCAAACAAAAGATTTTAATAATTTGATCATGTTTAATCTGGACATGTTTTATAAAATTTTAACTATAGATCACTGTAGGAAAATATCAGTATTTTTGTTATTTTTATTTTAAGAAAAAAATTTTCAAGACCAATTCAGAAAAATAATGTCCATGGTGGAGGTCCCAGTTACAGGGTATCTTTTGTATCTACAAGCCTCCAGGCTACTCCTACTCAGAAGCTCTTAAGGCACTGTAAACAAAAAAATTTTGTTGAAATACTTGAACCAGAAACCATGTTATCCGGGATAAGTCAAATAGCATTTTTTATTTTTTCATTGTTTAAGTCAAAAAGTACTATAAAGATGCCTACTTATTGCAAAATTCCCTAAAATTTACAATTTTTTGCCCCCACAGAGCCTATTTTTTTTATTCAACGAAAAAAACTCCAGCACAGCAATATATTCAGATTTCAGAAGAATCAGGAAGCTTCAAGCTGAGTTTATCTGTTCTGATTCTGAATGGAAGGAAACTACAGATTTCCATTTAGAATCAAGAGTAATAGATAACGGAGATGATTCTAGTAATTCATACAATCAGAACATTCTTGTTTGGTTCTAGTAGTTCCAATACCATTGTGATAAAATGTATCAATAGATTTCAATATAGATAAAAACAAGCACCTGTTCTCAAGCAAACACAAGGATTTAATCATTCCTCCATTAACAGAACAAAATGCTGTAAAACATAGGTTTGTCTGGGAGATATGTTTAGAAATTCAGATGTCAAAGTGATTCCTGTGTATGACGGTTTAGACTATGAGTGTACTGGGGTTGTTCCTGTTTGTGTGGGTTATAGTTTTTTTTTTTAAACAAAAGACTCGTAATGCTTTGAGGGACAATCTTTAAAAGAAACTATTCATAAGGGTTTACCACTTATCTGGTACCTTAGGATGGACCACTTTGGACAATACCGCGTGGGCGAAAACAAAATGCAAGCGTGCTATTCTGATACGAACATGTGGGTAAATCAACATTGACAAGATGTTGGCTAAACAAAACAGCAACATGCATTTCCAATGGAGAATGCTGAATTATGGCGGAGTGATTCCTAATTCTCAAGAGGCTTATGATTCTACAAGTTGAAACAGGGGCTTGTGAAGCCAATGAAATCTCAGTGACTTTACCTTTTTAAAATATATGGTGTCAAGTGTATCAAGTTTGAGCCCCCTCAGTTTACACTGCAAGTTCATCTGTGTGAATGAGTCATACACTTTTTTAATAATTTGTTTACAATAATTGGATATTGCGAATTGTGCGATATCCACTGCCTAAAAATGAAATTAAAAATTTTTACGAATACGATATGGACCCA